AACCTTCAGAGAACAGAGATTTTATCACTTCGAGGACCTGTTCCAAAACTCCTCAATGATTATGAATGTATCTTGGCAATATATTAAGAAAAATCTTGGCTCCTTAACAGTTTTAAAGAGGAAGAAAACACGTTTTCACAAAGATGAGCATACATTTATCTCTATGACTACCCTACAGCTATTATTTAGTAGCCAAATGGTGAAAATTAGTCTAGTGGAAACTTTACTTCTTTGCTGACATTTTCTCATCCATCACTTATCCCCTTTAGGCACAATAGAAAGTCTTGGGGTGGGGTGGATGGAGTGTTTCACAAAAGAAATCCGGTTCCTTTACACAGTGTTAACTACTCATCCTGAGTCAAGGATTTCACAAAGTTCCATTAACCCGCTTTCCATATGGGCTGGTTTCTTTCCGAACACTTCTTGCCCTTTCTTACCTCCGTATTTTTCTATGGGTGTCTTTTTCCCACAATACCTTACCTTCCCATCTGTAGCTATCAAATCTTGGCCCGTCTTCTAAACCCAGCGCACATCTAGTCTCTACAGAGCTGTCCCAGACTACCGACCCCTCTTTGAGTTCACCGTTTTGCCAGTGGCATGCTCACTACTGTATGTTGCTACTTCACAGTCGTTTTGTGTTTCTTATTTCATACCTCAATCTCTCCTCCACTGTATTATGAACTCTGAAGCCACACTGTACTAGGACTGGCAATAACCTTTTGCATACAGTTACTTAGGTATTTGTTGGTTGGCTAGAATACATGAAGCATAACAACTGAAACAATATGTGATATAACAACCACTGTTAATTCCTAGCATTTTGTTTTGAAACCCTGTATCATTTTTAATGTTTGTGCTTTGTTTTGTTTTTGTCTGTGATGATGGTATTTTGCTATTGGTCTTTTTTTTACTATTCTCTTTAAAATAAAAAAAGAAACTATTAAAGTCCTACCTGAACATGAATAACAACAATCTTCTTTTAATATTAAAACAGAAGCAGATACTTCTGAAAACTCAAGATATATTAAACTATTGGTAAAACATTTTCCCCTATAGTAGTTCTTTTGCAAAGCATTCTCAATAGTAATAGAATTATAATAAACTATATAAAAATTTAAGTAAGTGCTTGTTACAACTAACTATAACAAAGTGTTTGTACTTTAGCCAATAAAACTTATTTAATAAATTATGAGTCCCCAGTTTGTGTAAGAAATCATACTAAGATATGTTGGGAAAAAGATATAAGAAGACTAGCCAAGTCCTCAGTACTCAATACTTTAACAGAAGAGACAGACTTTACAAAATTTTACAAAACGAAAGTTAAATAAGCAATACAATACTGCTAATCTGCTGGGTAATGTATATGATTAATTTCAGTTGGTAGCATTCAGGAACCATCTGCCAAGAATAAAATGACCACATTTGAGCAAGGTCTCTTGAAAGACAATTGGGACTTTTACACCAAGATGGCAGAAGGGGTTTCTGGGCTATGATCACACAGAACAAAAGGTACGATTGTGCAGTAATCCCTTTCCATCTTTTTATATTATTATTTTTTGTAGTAGTGGAGATTGCACCAAGGCCCTCACACATGTGCTGCTGCTGAGCAGTATCTCCAGACCCTCAACCATTACCACATTTAGCTTTTCTCAAAAAGTGACCTCCTCTGGGACTTCATGACCAAGGGGATTCCTTTCGTCTTACTACAAGTGAATGCCGTTTGGTCTTTCTTTCTCTCCTACCCCAACAGTGTCCCCGTTCTTTCCACAGCTAAATTCTACAAATTGTTTTGTACTCTCTTGTTGCTTCTGGCTTATCCACTCTTGCCCTAGTGCTCAACCCTTCTCTCCTTCCCTTCGTGGCCAAAATTTTTAAGTAGTCTGTATTTGTTACTGCTACTCTAACGCATTACTCAGTACCCTATGATGAATTTTCTTTTAAGTGCCTCACAATGTGGTTTTTATTCAGTAAAATAAAGTGGAATAAGGGTTTACTTTATGATTTCATCTTTGTTTAAAAATATTTAATCAGGATTTTTTCTTAAAGTTCACTTGCCATATTCAAGAAACAGAATGTATAGTCTCTGAAGTAGGACTTCTCATGTCCTGAAAGTAAACTACTATGCAACTAAGTACTTTTAGCCAAGGACCTTTTATTTTAGTGATTAATGAGAACCCTGAATCTTTAATGTTTTCTTAATGTATTTCCCCTAACTTAGAGCTCTTTATAAGTCTTCAAATGAGCACAGGTAGAATGTGCAATTTATTTTCAACAACACAAATTAGGCCCTTTTAAGGAAATTATTAGTATTACCCAGGGTCCTCAAACCTGACTGATGCTCCAATTTATTGGCAGTTTCATTTGCTAGTTGGAATAATGGCTAAGAAAAATGGGTTTTCCTCCTCTATACAATAAGCAGCTAGAACTCCCCATAACTTATTTATTTACCTTTCTTGCCTTCAAAGTTACATATATCAGCACCCATTAACCACTTGTACTGATTTCAAAAACTCAAACAACCACATGAAATATACACGTAAGTATTTTCAGGGACAGTGAATGTCATGCATGATTCTATGAGTTGCTGGCCAATACGGCAGCTCTTTTTTTTTTTTTTCCAGATTTTCTTTGTAATGAACACTTCTGTTCATTCAACAAATAAAGATCTTTTTTTTCTTTCTTTCTTTTTTTTAAATTTTTTTCCTGTACTGGGAATCTAACTCATGACATTGCGCTTGTCAGGCAGGTGCTGTGGCGCTGAGCTAAATCCCCAGCCCCATAATTTTAATTGCATTGAATCTGCATATTAGTTTGAGGAGAACTAATATCTTAATAATACTGTTTTCCAGTCTTTTTTTTTTTTGGTACTGGGAATCAAACTCAGGACCTTGTGCTTGCTAGGCAGGTGCTTATGCCATTGAGCTATATCCCCAGCCCCTGATCTTTTTCTTTGAACCCAAGATCCATGCACTGAGCTACATCCTCAGCCCTTTTCTAAGACAGTGTCAGTACATTGGTAAATTTCCCAGCTGGGGCTCTACCTCACAATCTTCCTGCCTCAGCCTTCCAGAATTTAAAGATTGCAGACATAAACCTTAACACCCGGCTTCCCTTTATTTTTTAGAAATAAATTATCCTATATATGTCCCTCTTTTTAAAAACAGCTCTTTAAAAGAGACAAAGATCAGAATCATAAACTTCTCTTCTATCCTCTTAAGGAACACTTTATAGATCTACCAAGTACACTGGACATTACAGAACACAGTATCTGTCAATAGGCTGATTTATATTTAACAAAGGCCACAACACAAATGTTTTCCCTAAAGATCAGAAAATTTCAGGCCCATCTCTAACATTTGTAGAGGCCGGAATAAAACTACAAATGGGGTTATGTGTGTCCATATTTTCATGTCTAAGTAGTTAGAAGTTATAAGTCAAGTTAAAGTATTAAAAAAAAGTATGACCTTACAGTCTAATATTGACAAGTGCCCCTTCAATTATCTGGAAGAACATGTTCTTGGATTCCTTACAGTTCCACACCATATTGTGGTGAGAGGGAAGCCAGCCCACCCTTGTCCTTCTCTTCCCACTACCCAATCCTGCAGTGTCTTGAGGGGCCCTGTGCAGGTCTATGGATATCCCACTTCAGTGATGGCGAACCTTTCAGAAGTGAGTGCCCAAACTGCAATCCCAAACCCACTTATTTAGCGCTAAGTGCCAATAGTGCAATTAAACCTGAATACTGAGGTTTTAGTTTAGAAAATACAACTCATACATTAACGTCTTTTGTCTTAAAGTGAAACAGCATGCCTGTCATAGGTTCGCCACCACTGTCCCACCTGCTCCAACTGCCTGCCTTTAGTTACTCCACAAGGCTAGGGGTACATTCACTGGTTCTACCCTCCTGAGGACCAACCCAGGCAAAAGGCCATGCAGACCTTGGAAATAAGCTCTGAGCTGTTGAGGGCAGAAAATTCCATTCTCAGTGCAGAGGATAGAACTGGGAAATGAGGGCTTAGGACCCTTTATCCTAAGGGCAAGTTTGGCTAGAGGATGGCTTTCTTTTATTTTATTTTTCCAATTTTTAAATTTTTCAGACTGGGTCTCACTGTGTTACCTTGGCCTAGAGCTCACGAACTTCCAGCCTCAGCCTCCTGAGAATCTGGGATCACAAGTACGTACCACCATACCCAAGCATTTCAGAACATGGCCTTCCAGGGCACAAGTCCCAAAGCTGAGCTGCTCTTGCCCAGGACTAAAGACAACACTGGTTAATCCACCAAATGAAGACTTTACCAAAGCAGACATGTTGATAGTTAATACACCAGTTGAAACTCAGTATGTGAGAAGGTGAAGAAGGTAGATAAAACTTGAAATTCCAGTCTCTAATCACTTCAGTTCCCTCGAAGTCTATAATCAAAGGGTCTACTACTAATCTGGATCTATCCTATAGACTAAAACCTAGATTCTGTGTTTTCTTCACAAGTTCATGCAAATTTACAGAATCCTATTCACATGCTAGAGGAAGCTGACAAGACCACAAGGAGCAGAAGGAAAACAATATCAAAGGCACGATCAGACATGCAGCTGGAAGAGAGAGCATTTCCCTTGTGTTCCTCCCCTGTGTGGGGAAGCTTACAGCAGCATTAACCATCTGATCAAAGTTCAGTGTCACAGCAGTGCAAGTTCAGGATCTCAGCTGGCTCTCCCGAATGCAGACTCATGCGGGTCTCTCACTGCCTCCGAGTGCACCTCGCCTGGCCCTTGTGTGCGTGGGAGGTCACGCTGGGCCTCGTCAGCAGGTCAGCGGCCTGCCGACAGCCCTCCCTACACAGGGTCTCCTCCCTCACCACAGTGTGCTCCACTGCCATTTCAAATGTACTTAACAAGAAAGTGACTCTGTTAATTTGAAAACACTAGTAAGTAAATCTTGTTGCAATACATATACATACTCCAGAAGAGAAGTATTTCAACTGGAAATCTTATTTATGTGTACTTACTGAGATTGTACCATTGTCTAGACCTATGGACAGTCTTCTTGTTTCCGGGTTAAAAGACATGCATGAACATGGAGCTGAAAGAAATGAACATGTTGATGAAATTAACAAAATGACAATTCTCATCAATTCAGGAGTGCTTAACTAGCTAACGGTGTGTGGCTTTTTTCCCATTATTTTCTACAATAGTTCATTTAACTCCCACTCACCAAAAAATAAAAAGTCACTTTATGACCAATGTCTAATTTTTAAAAATTATCCTTTTAATAAATACAAGAAATAAGACATTCTCAAAGTGAGCAGGTTCCAGGGGCTTGGTCTCACGTGTGCTTGTGCTAAATCGCTCAACTAGATGAACCATGTGTTGTTCTGCGTAAGCCTTTGGCCACCACACTCTCTCTTCCGCTCAGAACCCATTCAATGGAAATAACCTCCCCACCCTGACAAAAGCAAAGGGCTGATCTTTCACCCTCACTGCCAGCATGCATACAAATCCATGTAGCGGTGAAAAAAATCTGTATTTGACTCAGAAGTCATAAGGGATAGGTGAACAGCAGTCTTGTACAGCTTCCATTCAGAAGATGTGCCTGAGGCTGCTGGTTGAAAATGATTGCAAATTTGTCTCAAGCTGAAACTCAACTCAAGTTAGGGCGAGGCACTGCAGCAAAGAGACCAGGTCAGTCGGCCTGTGTGCTAGTTCTGGGCTGGGTCTCCCAGTTCCACAAGACCGACTGCCTATGTGAGTTAGGCCCTACGCGAGGAAGGTACCTGTGCTCAACAACTTACAAAACAGCTTCCAGATGCCTGTTTTACCTATGCTGCTCCTTAGAATGGGGGTCCACACTGAAGAGTTGTTCTAAAAAAGCCCAACACAGTCTTTAAATAAGTGTCTCTCCACCACACTCCCAGGAGCCCTATAAATCACAGCCTTACTCCTCATGATAATCATAATCAGCATTAAAGCAGTTATTTCTACTTTTTAGGTTAGACGTCTCACTCAAGGTCACACCGGGGAAAGAAAGTTGGAGAAGGTTCAAAGACATAATTCAAACATGTGGTCCCATTTTCACAGCCCAACTCTGATTACCTTTATAAAAGAACTCCAAGTTACACTGGTATAGTCACTTTATAATCATATCACTTAGAATAGTTTTTTTTGTTCTCTATAAAAGGGTCCTGAACAAATCAACAACAAAAAGTCTCCTAACTGAATAGTTTCCTTCTAATTTCCATGACAGATTCTAAAAATAGAAACACAGAAAGAAGTATCTCCCCCTTAAACTTTCAACAGTACAGCACAATATCTTTTTCTGTTTAGCCAGAAAATGAAACTAGATTCTTAGAATCCACTGACAAAAAAATCAATCAAATAACATTTAATAAACTGTCATAAGAAATTTAGACTTACTTTCCCTTAGCTTTACAAACTATTTGGCAATATTTCCATAAATTCTAAGATGCCAGCTTTCATAATCCCATATGTGTGCAGAATTAAAACCTAATGATTACATGGAAAACTATCATGTGAGCTGAAAAACATCAGAAAGAGGACACTGTGAACACCTCTATGTAAAATATATTCACCCATAAAAATATAAATGGAAAAACTAAGCACAGTTCTCATGTTTGAGAGATTATTTCTTTTAAGTTTTAAATACTATTTTGCTGTTCCTGTTAAATGAATTTTAAATATCTAATGATTCCTTAAATTTTAGCATAAAATGGAAATACAGTGCTTTTCAACAAACTTTATTAAAAAAAAGATTTAATCATGAGCATAAGAAGCAAAAGTTAATTACAGCTCAAGCAGCTATGTGCCAACCAAGAATAACACTATTCATCTGCCCACCTCACCGTCTAAAAGTATTTTCTCTGTGAATTCATCTAGAGTTCATGTAGGTTTTTTGTTTGTTTGTTTTTCGTTTTTTTGTGCGTTTTTTTTTTGGTACCAGGAATCACACTCAGGACCTTGCGCTTGCTAGGCAGGCACTCGTGCCGCTGAGCTATATCCCCGGCTGAGTCCACGCAGTTATGCCATAGTTGGAAAAACATGATTTAAAAGACTTTTTTTTTACAACCCTGACTAAGCTACCCTTAAGTCTATATCATTACTTCTCTATTCCTGTCTTACTACTGAACAAAAATGTAGGATGCTTACTATGCTCCAGGCATGTGACATGATATATGCAAGGTATTATTACTGCCATCAAGTTCATAGATGTGACATCCACTATATACAAGAACTATGAAACTCAAGTTCATCTCTTTGGTTCAAATCACTTTATGTATATTAAGAAAATGTCCCAGAATTCAAAACCAAACAACCTTTCCTTTATAAAGGAACCTGAAAGAAATTTTAACAAAACTCGTGCTGTTCTGTAACTCATATTCCTGAACCCAAGATACCCGACACAGGGGTGTACCAGAGTTAGACAGCATAAACTCTCAGGTGCTGCCAAAGGTATAGCTATTCTCTCTCTCTCTCTCCCTTCTGGTTTTGATAGGCAAACCTTATGATGCCCCTCAAATCACTGCCGACCTGTGACATTCCCATAGGAAAAGGCCTTGGGTTAATTACCCATAGGCCCTGAAAGGGCCAAGAATACATGAAGCAGATTCCAAATAATAAATCTTTTTTTTGGAGGTTAGAGGCAGATGGATTACCATAAGATCTTTCTAACTTCTACTTTCCAAAAAATTTAATGAAAAAGCACCTCTAAAAGACTAGCACTGTGGCCCAGACACAACGGGCTCCTAGCCATGTAGCAGCAATATCAAAGGAATGCAACCATCTGGGGGGGTCTGGGGTTTAGCTCAGTGGTGTAGCGCCTGCCTGGCAAGCATGACGTGCTGAGTTCAATTCCTGATAACCCTTCTCCTCCCAAAAAGAAAAGAAAGTTAATGGCATTAGGTCATTGTGGTAGCCATATGGAAGAAACCGTCTAGGGAACTATAATGAGACTGAGGTCCAGATAATAACTGGAGAATGAGAAAAGGAATCTTTTGGGGACGGGGGCAGGACAGTATGATTTAGGCATAATACTGTTACTAGGTTACAAAAATGGGGTTCCATAAAAAAAAAAAAGAAAGAAAACACCCCCAACACTCTATTAAATGCTACAAAACTATTAATTCATAAGGCAACAAAGAAATACTTGGTTTCTCCCATGGCTAAACGTGCAGGTTAGACGTGAACTGGCTGGGTAGCTATTCTGTCCCCCTACCTTAATACCTCTTTCTTCAACGAGTGAGTGAAGTGACTGACCAGAACTATACAACTACAACACAGTGTCCCTCCACTGACTTCCTGGGGCAACACTACAACCCTGACCTCTAGATGAAATAAACACATCCACCGCTACCCTTAACTGTGTCCCAGTGAGACATAGTCACACAAGTAAGCCCATCTGCCGAGCTTCCCAAGTACACATCATGCCATATGCAGACAGCCTGATTCTGCTCGGGCCTCTACTAACCAAATCACTGAAATTCACAGCCTTGCCAATGGTCTTGCTGGTGTGGCATCCTAGTTTCTTACTACTATTTTCATGTTTTGGAGGGATGACTATAGTTTCTAAATTTGCCATCTACCTTTTCTGTCTCAGTAGGAAGGCAGTCAAAGGAAGGGCACTGGTAAAATGTAGGAAGCAAGATAATGAAAAGTACAAATAAAAAGTATCTGAGTCTGCAGGTCTGTGGGGACTAGAACTTCTTGTTCGCCAACATTAGTACCAGGACTTTTGACTTTCATAGGCTACCATAGTCTTACCTTTAAATATTTTCATAGCATTTGAGTGTTTTTAAAAATTAATAAGCCTTTATAATTTACGGCAGATATCCAGCTTTAAGTTCAGGGAAATCTAAAGCAAAAAGCCCCAGTATGGGGTGATTACATTGAACATATAATTTGAAGGAGAAAAAGCTGAAGAGATCTGAGCCCCCAGACAAAGGAGACTCAAAACAGTAATATCAAACTCAAGAAAATAACTAAATGGATTACACAAAAAGTAGCTTTCTATACTTCTAATTTGGTTATACTACAATTGATATTTTTTTAAAAAGATCATGGCCTTTGCTTTTTATAAAAAAAAAAAAAGATGGTTGAGAGGAAGCATTCTCAAAAGAGTTCTACTTGAGAGAAGATTTTCTAATTTCTATTATTTACACCTATAATTCTTTCATTTATGGCTAATTTATTTTCTGCCCTTTGCTGACTGTTTGAACTTTGCTTCAATAAACACAAATTCCACTGAAGATTAAAGCTCTGGATTTCAATCACACTGACTGCTATCAAATGCTAAGGGCATAATCTGGCAGCAGATACTAATCTTCCTCATAAGATTCTCTGGTTCAAAGATAAAAAGTAAATAAACTAGTACATTTGTGAATAAAACTTCAGGTGTTGAAGGCATCATGGTAAAGTTAAATGTCAGGCTCCCATGATAAGGAGCCAGCTTGGATTCATGCACATTATTTCATTCATACTTAATTTGTCTTAGGATAATATTTTTAGATTTGCAATGCTGAACCCATGTTTTATTTTATTAGGCATACCTTTAATTAAAGACTTCTAGTGCCTAGCACTAAGAAATTTTTAGTTAAATAAAACATTTTAAGCGTTCCACTACAATTTATCATTCTGTTTTCATTTAGTCTAGTCTGAGTAACATCAGGAAAGTTAATTATGATTAGAAATGGTCACTTACTCTTTTAGGCAAGTTTTACATTAAAATAAAGCAATACAGCTACAGCAAATTTTAAAATGCTGTCAGATGAAAATCAAGTAAGAGTATGCTAAATACATGCTGTACTCACATTAGTTAATATCTGTTATCTTTAGTGTGGATATCTGTATTTTACTTCATGTCCATTAAAAATCAAAAGTTTCCTGGGTATCTTTTCTTAGTAAATACAGAGTCAACCATATTAAATCACTGTTCTTAAAAACACAAATAGTAAAAATAGTAATTTGTTTTTACACATACAAATTATTTTTACACATGGTTCCATAATACAATCTGTAAAAAAGAAATCAGAAATGGAACGATAAACTTCCTAACCAGGAACCGAGGCGTTA